CGAACCCTCGGCGGGAGCGCCGCCGTGCTTCCCAAGCGGCGCCCTATCGCAGTGCGCCACCGGGCTGGCCCTAAATGTCAGACATTTTGATATTGTCCAAATGGTCCTGAGGCTCTGTTCAGTTTTTCAATCTTTTTTCCTTACTGTTCTTCAGATTAATAATTCTACTGATCTGTCTTAGTTGATTGACTCTTCTGTCATCTCCATTTTGCTAGTGAGGTCATCCAGTAAATATTTTATTTGGTGTACTATATTTTTAATTTCTAAAATTTTTACTTTTATTTTTATAGTTTATATTTCTTTGCCAAGAACTTTTATTTTTTCTTTTAAGGGTGCTCACCTTTTCTTTTCTCATGGAGCGTGGTAATAGCTGTGTTAACGTGTTTGGTCATTCCCTCTTCTGAGCCATCTTGGAGTTGGCACCTATTGTCTGTCTTTCCCCTTGACAATTGATCTGATTTTCCTAGTTTTTTGTGTGTTGTCATTCCCTCTTCTGAGCCATCTTGGAGTTGGCACCTATTGTCTGTCTTTCCCCTTGACAATCGGTCTGATTTTCCTAGTTCTTTGTGTGTTGAGTAGCTTTGGATTGTATTCTGGATATTTTGAACATTATGTAGTGAGACTCTGGTTTCTGTTAAAATCCTGTAGAGATTGTTGGGGTTTTTTTGTTGTGTTTGTTTTTCTTAGCAGGAGGTTGACAAGTTCATTAGGTTCAGACCTCAAATTCTGTCTCATTTTCTGTGGGTGGTGGTTGCAATGTTAGCTCAGTTTCCAAGCCTTTGGTAAGCTGCTTTGGGTCTGTCTGTTCTGCATGTGCTCAACATAGGATGAGACTGGGACTTGTACTGGGTCTTGAATAAAAATAGGGGATCCTCCCACCCAGCTCTCTTTTTATTTTCAGGATTTCCCTTACATTCATCAGTTTTTAGGTGCTCCTTCTCACTGTTCCTCTGGCCAGATAGACAGTTTAGTTTAGAGAAATTGCCATGCAGTTCTGTAGAATTGGGCCACTTTGGTAGCAAAACAGCAATAGAAAATAAGGGAGAAAAAAAAAGATGGGAGATTTTCCCCACACAGTCTTTGGACCACAGGGTCCCCATTTCCCAGTTCCTCTGGCTGCAGGGACAGGTTTTAGGTGACCGCACCGCATGTGGCTCCAAGATCAACCTGGCCTTGGGGCAGGGCCAGGAGAGTAAAAGAGGAAAAAAGAAAAACTGTGGGGATTCCTCACACTATCTGGCCCCTCTTCCCAGTTCTCTGGCTTGAAAGTGGCATTTTCTCTCAGAGTTTTGCTACACAATTCCAGGTCGCAGGCCACCCTCAGGTTAACACCAAGAGATAGAGGAAGAAAAAAACCCAAGAGACTCTCCATGATTTTTCCTATTTTTCAAGTTTCTACTTCTCTCCCCTGTTGTTTTGTACCTTATCCAGAGTCTCTAGTTGTAATCAGCAGGAGAGAGAGGCTGTGGTGGGCTTATTCGGTCTTGGCCAGCGCCAGAAGTGTCAAAATGTTTTTTTTTTCCTTCAAAATGTTTTTTATACCTGGTTGATCCTGCTGGGGAGGAAGAAAAAGGTTTTTATACTTATACGGCTAATCTTCAGTTCTCACAAAAATTTACTTATGTAGATAAAGTAATTCCTCAGTGGTACTGCTTAAATTTTCTTCCAGAAAATAAAGATATTTTTAGGATTGGGCTAAATGGGCTTATAGATTTTAATAATCTATAAATCTAAATTTAATCTGTAAATGGGCTTATAGATTTTAATAAGTGTTTTTTGATATCTAGTCAGAAGCCACATGAGAAACCACTTGGACTGGCTGAGAAGAAAGAATATGATAAGAAGAATGGCTGTGTGAAGTAAGAATTTTTTTCTTGGCCTGAATTGTTTATTGAAATAATTGTAGTGAAATTATAGGCAGTAGGAATTTACATATTTTATTTTTAATTTCAAACCTGTGTTCCCATAAAAAAAATATACACGAAGTCTCCTTTAGGCTTCGTGGTTAGTTTTTTCTTTTCCATTCACTGGGGTACATTTTTCTGTTTCAGTGCAGGTAGTCATTTTCTACCTGCCTTTCTGATTCTTTTGGCGAAATGAACAATTTTGTAAAATGAATTAAATATAGTTGATCTTTGGGGGCTATTAATTTTCTATGGGTTGGAGTTTGCTTTCTTGCTGGTTTTCTGATGTTACATAGAATTACCACTTGCTGGGGAAACTATTAACAACATAGTAATAACTTCATTTTATACTTGTTTAATCCACAGAATATTTTCATACCAATTTTTATGATTTTTTTTTAACCATACCAGCCTGAACAATTTTACATTCCACATAACTATGGCTGCTCTGGAGCTACCCGAGTAACAAAGAGTTTAAGACAGTTCAGAGGTGGGTAGGTTGTGCTGTATCCACTAATTGGCCTGAGGGTTGGAGGAACCCCATATGGGCTGCCCGACTTCCCAGAGGCCACACTGATGCCCAGCAGCAGCTCCTCACAGTGTTCCAGGGCTGAGGACTTTGAAGGCTGCTTGGAACCCACGAATCTGGGAATGGCTGTTTAGGTACCTAATCAACACCGTCCTCTCAGGGCATACCTCCACCCTAACACCTGAAGGTTTTGCTGTTACAAGTGGTTAATTTCTTTGGAAAAAAAGACTTTGCATTATCCATGCACTTCCTTTCTTTCTTTTATTATTTTAAATTATAACCTGATAAATTAGCTCTGAAATATCCTATTCCCTTTTGTTTTTGTGTTAGAAAGTTCTGTCTCATCTCTTGAGCTGCGAAATGCCCTTTACTCAGAACCCACTGATTAAACTACATCAGTTATTCTTTTGGTCTGCCGTGGGTTCCAGGGACCCTTGAAGTGGTTCAAGATGAAAGACCTAAGATGAAAGAAGGCAGTGGGTTTCCTAGAAACAGAGGGATGACCTGGTGATCATGCAGTCCTTCTTGACCATAGCAAATGGTCCTAGATTGGCTACTTTGCTGAAATGAGTGAACACCACCCACAGGCTGTGAGCAGATAAGTGCTGTTGAGCCAGGCAGCAGTAGAGTACTAGGGCTGTGCGTGTCGAGCCAGGCAGTAACATAGAGCCGGCCATGCGTGTTGGTTACTTTTCCGTTCCTGGTTTACCTAAAGTTAATAATTATCTTCAATTGTTTTTTTGTTTCTTTAGTTTTCTGTATATTTTTAGTGACTCATTTCCAGAATTCTCCTCTGTTGTCTAAACTTGCTTTCAATGTTTTTATCTTGGAGGCCTCTTCAGAGCCTTCCCCCCTGCTTTTGTCTGTGCCTGATGCATCCTGTGTTCATTGTCACCAATATACTAAGAGTCTCTGCATCTTTCTTGAATTGAGTCTCCTCTTTTCTGGATCTTCCATCTTCCTCTTACCTGTTTTACTCCCTTGTTTTGGTGAGGAACATCCTTCAGTAACTTCCTGAGAAGGAGAACATGAAAGACAACATTTTTTGAGACTTTGCATAAATGTTCTTAGACTATCTTCACACTTGATAGATAGTTTGGGTATAGATTTTGAAGGCGTTTCTACTTTATCTTCTAGTTTCTAGTGTTGTTGTTGAGAAGTCTACTCCATTCTGATTCCTTATTCTTTATATACGACTCTTTTTCCTCTTTGTCTCTCTCTCTGGAAACTTATAGGACCTTCCCTTTGTTCCCAGTGTCTGGAAGTTTCATGATAATATGCTTTGGTAAGGTTCTATTATTATGCTTTGGCAGCCCCTTTTATTTTTTTATTTTTATTTTATTTTTATTTATTTATTTAATATTAATTTTTATTGAATCATAATTGATTATACATATTTTTAGGGTTAAACATTGGCATATGTTGATCAAATCAATATCACTAGCATATATATTGATACAAATCGTATTTATTCTTTATGCCTCTTGTCCAATCTCTTCCTATCCCTCTCTCCCACCCCTCTCCCCACTCTAATTACCCTAGATTTCTTCTCTACTTCTGAAAGAATAATGGTTACTCTGTTGATTTGTTGCCTAGATGCTCTGTCCAGTGCTGAGAGGTATGTTCAGTCCCCCAGTATTATCGTAGAGCAGATGCTTCTTCTGTCCCTCTGAAATGGGATTTGTGGAGAGAGACATCCTCTTCTTTTCTTTGGTCTCTGCTGGTCACTCTCCTTTTGTCAGTGCACTCCAGTGGCTGGCAGACCATCTGCATGGTGGTTGTGGCATCTAGCTGCTTTCGCGGCAGCTGTGGTTATTGTGCTGGCTGTAGTGGGTCACCCACATGGAGGTGATGTTTTTGGCATGCTCCTTATCTAGTTGCTGGTGGCCCATCTGCATGGTGGTTGTGGCATCTAGCTGCTTTCGCGGCAGCTGTGGTTATTGTGGTGGCTGTAGTGGGTCACCCACATGGAGGTGATGTTTTTGGCATGCTCCTTATCTAGTTGCTGGTGGCGGCAGTGGTCTGCGTGGTCGTGGAAGGGGGTCTGGTCCCTAGGCGGACCCTTTTAATCTGTAACTTCATGTCCCTCTTAACTTTTTCATTGATCTCTTCTGCCCCATGTTCTCTGTCTTCTTTCCTGTTACTCATATGTTGGACCTCCTAGATTGGTTGTATAATTTTTTTTTAAATATATTTTTCTTCTATTTTTTATCTCTTTGTCTTTTTGCTTTATTTTTTGGAATGTTTTCATAACTTTATCCTCTACTAATTTTATTGAATTTTTTATTTCTAATATCACACTTTTAATTTGCAAGAGTTTTTTCTTTTGTTTCCTTTTCTCTTTTTTTTATAGTGTCCTATCTTTGTTTCATACATGTGATGTTTTTTCTCATTTCTTTAAAGATACTAATTGTGGGGAGGGAAGGGAGTTTTTTTCTCCCTAAATGATTTCTGTTCCTTATAAGCTGCATTACTCTGTTCTTACTTTTTGTCTCTATAAGGTTAGAGCCTTTCCTCAGATGTCTGTGGTCCTTGGTTGCTCATATTTTAACATAGGGACCTAGTGAACCAACTAGGTTCTCTAAGTGTGCAGTGGCTTGTTGGCCATGAGTCTCACTGTGGAAGGAGCTGCTGTTGTGGGAATGCCTCTGAAGTCAGTCTCTCTAGTCTTTCCTCTTAGGGGGGTCAGATTCCCCAGGTAAGGCTTCTCCTGTCTCTTGCCCTCGGGTGAAGACCTGCCTGCCAGTGTCCTGCATGCTGAGTGGCAGAAGCAGGCTGGCTCTCATTATTCAGCACGTGTTTAACCTTCCTTTTCTTGGGATAGTGCCTTCATCCTCAACTGTGCTTCTAGTTCCTCAGTCCTGAGAATTCTGTTGTTATGGGGGTGGGTAATTGTCTGGCATTGAGAAGTGTAAGGCCATCCAGAGACTGCCTCCTTTATTTTAGCCCCATGCTACATTGCATAGTTGCAGGAGCCTGGTCCTAATTCCTAAGCTTTCTGGAAATTGTTCTGTGCAAACAGAGTTGGGCCTCCCATGGCTGTCTCAGATTCAGTTGTCTTGGATCTGCTGAGTCAGTTCCCACTTGTCCATCTGTTTTCTAGCTTCTAAAATTTTGTTTTGGAATATTGTCTCCTCTATGGTTCTCTCCTACATTGTGCTGTTTTTTTAAAAAATAGCTTTATTGAGATAATTAATATACTATAAAATTTGCCCTTTGAAAATATACAATTCAGTGGTTTTAATATATTCAGAGTTGTGCAGCCATCAGCACTATCTGATTTCAGAACATTTTCATCATCTCCCAAAAACCCTGTATCCATTAGCAGTCACTCTCCATTTCCCCCTTTCCCAATCCTTTGGAAGCCACTAATCTACTTTCTATCTGTATGTATTTTCCTATCCTGGATATTATATATAAATGAAATTATGCAATATATGGTTCTTGTGACTGGCTTCTTTCACTTAGCATAGTGTTTGTTGTTATTGTTGTTTTTTGTTGGCCTGTACAGGGAATGAAACCCAGATCTTAGTGTTATCGGCACCACACTCTAACCAACTGAACTAAGTGGACCACTTAGCATAATGTTTTAAAAGTTCATCTCTGTTGTTGCAAAAATGAGTACTTCATTCCTTTTTATGGCTGAATAATATGTCATTGCATGGATATAGCACATTCCATTTATTCATTTATCAGTTGATGACATTTGGGTCTTGTGGCTTTTGTAGTTAAAAATTCACTTATGGGAATGGGGTTTCAGGAAAGAGTGCAATTTGATGTGTGTGTTTAATCCACCATCTTTATCCCAAAGTCCCTGCCACAACTAGTTTGTGAGTTCTCTGCAGCTTTCACATATTTCTTTTTCTCTCTGTTAGCAGAGGTGGTAGTGGACAAGTCCTGTCTGGTCTCGTTTTTTCATCTGTAAAGACAATGAAGGAGACCAGTAGTTCCAAAGCTTGCCTGTCCCCTTTCAGATATTCGTCATGAAGACATGGATGGCAGGGTGGTTGCAGCACAGACACAGACCTCAGCAGGGAGCAGGGGGCTTACAACTACATGGCCATCATGGGCCTTGGATGTTAATAAGCCAAGCAAACAGAACTAGTAGTCAGCTGTGCCTTGGTATAAAATAGTCCATTTTACCTCCATCAAGGAAGAATTGAAATAATAGCTCAATTAAGGACACATAAGCACTTTTTTCTTCAAATTTTGTTCTTTTAATTATTTTACAGATTACTGCAGTTTTTAAATCCCGATCCTTTGAGAACTGATGGAATCTCTGATCTGCAGCAGGTATTATATGTCCTAAAGGATGGGAACAAAAGAGAAAACTGTTTACTCTTTAAATCCTTCTTCTTCCTCCTTCCAGACTTGACATTAGAAGAGAAACTCCGTAGATGGGGGACTTTACCCGAAGACTTCCTTTTAGCAATTATCTAAAAGAATTATCACTTCAGAGAAATTGCTCTTTTTTTGTTTGCGTGATTGATGGTCTGCCTTTCATTTTGGCAGTTTTGGTGTTTATAATATACCCAGGTTTTTACACTGAAATCAGCATCTCCTTCATTTCCGTAAAGTTCTTGATATTCTGTGCAGATCCTCAGGGCACATACTAGCTGTCTAATGTACGTGTTCACTTAGTTGCAGAAGCTGAAGTCGGGCCCGCAGCAGCCTGTTGCGGTGCTCCGGAACAAGATCGAGCCCTGCCTGACCATGGATGTGTCGCCACTTTCAGCAGACCTGAAAAAGGTAGAAGTGCTCTCACAACCAAACTCATGGAGAGATCTGACCTTTTCTAACATAGAAGGATTTTATTTATTTATTTTAAAATTGACATGTATCGATTGCACATATTTAGGGGGTACAGAGTTATATTTCAATACATGTATGCAGTGTATGATGATCAAATCAGGGCAATTAGCATATTTATCATTTGTCTGTGATGAGAACATTTGAGCTCCTCTCTTAGCCATCTGAGGACATACAATAAATTATTTTTAAATGTTGGTGCCTAGTATTACTGTATACCACTAGGACTTATTTTTCCTATCTGGCTGTAATTTTGTGTCCATTAACCAACTTCACCTTAGCCTCGCTCTCTCCTTCCCTTCCCAACTTCTAGTTACCACAATTCTGCTCTCTACAATGGAGGGATTTTTAAAATAAACAGCCCTAATGTTGCATTGTATCATTTCTTTGCTTTTGAAATTCTTTAAAACTTTTGTTACTAATTTCTCATTTATTCTTAAATCCAGGTTCACTTCTTATAAGTGAATAATTCTTTTGTGGAGAAGTCATTGTATAACTATAAATCCTCTTCTGAAATAAGTTTTCAAATGTGCCTCTGGAAAGGGGTTTAGAAGGAACAAGTTGCCTGTGCAATTGTAGTATACTTCTTAGCCATTCTTTTCAAAATTGCTTTATAGAATTGCTGTAATTCCACTTGGTAAATTGATCACACATATTTGTATCCTTTCCTCCTGATTAAAAAAAAAATGTTTAAAAATATTTTTACCCTGCCCTTTTCAAAATTGCTTTATAGAATTGCTGTAATTCCACTTGGTAAATTGATCACACATATTTATATCCTTTCCTCCTGATTAAAAAAAAAATGTTTAAAAATATTTTTACCCTGCTGGCCAGCCACCAAAAAAAAATTTTTTTTTAAAGATAGATAAAACTGCAAGGATGAATAGAATGCCAGATAAGTGTTAGTGGACCAGAGATTTCCACAGGCCTGTAGAAGATGGAAAGCAGGTGGCATAGTATGGCTGACCTAATGGAGGAAAGAGTGAGGCAGGTGAGGTAGTGAACATCTACAGCCAATTTGTATTGTTCTCAGGAAGGAGGCTCTTTATGGAGGAAATGAATGGACCTAGAAAATTGACCTTTAGGTGATGCTATCTGGAGTTCTCCCTGTGAAAACGCCTGCTTGCTGACCTCTCTTCCTGCAGTGATATGACACCACATGTGACAAGGTTTGCCCCATCCCTACAGCTTCTGGTCAGTTTTAAGTGTCTTCCTCTCCAATATGGGACCAAACAAACTCTAAAGGAAACAAACAGTGCAGAAAGTAGAACAAAATGCTAGAAAGTAAATATCCTCAGAGATAAGAGAAGATATTGCATCCATTTAACAATAACAGCGTGCTGTAAAAAAAAATAATAATAATAATAATAACAGGTGCTGGTAACACCAAGGTCATGGTTCAGATCCCTGGACCAGCCAGCTGCCAAAAAAAAAAAAGGTGCAATCAGAGAATTAAAAAAAATTTTTTTGGAAATTCAAAATATTTTAGAAATTTAAAAAAATAAGTGGTAGGTTTGAGATATAAAATAGAAAGCTAACTCTCAGAAAGTAGAACAAAAAGTCAAGGGCATGGAAATAGGAGGGAAAAAAAGAATTTGAGGGTCAATTTGAGGTCCAATATCTGGAAATGTGATTTCTAGAAAGAAAGAAGAAAGAGGGCAAAATGTTCTCTGAGGAGTAACACATGAATATTTTCTGGATGTAATGGATGTGAATCTCCAAATTAAGAGAGTCTACCTACCACAGACCCGGGACTACTGATGAACAAAGATTAGATACGTTGTTGTGAAGCATCTAAATGGAGGGATTCGGAGATCATGAAAGCTGCTAGAGAGAATAAAGTGGTCCCACAAACAGGACCAGGAGTCAGAATGGCTTCAGACCTCTCCACAGTAACACCTCCAAACGTGATCATTGACTTCAAAAGCCTGATGAAAAGTTTTTTCCAACCTAGAGGTCCACACTTGAACTATTGATGAATTGTGAGTGTAGAATGAAGATATTTTCAGACATGCAAAGTCTCAAAAAAAAAATTTCTTTCTCCTATACCCTTTGTCAAGAAGCTATTGAAATATGTTCTCCACCAAAACAAAGAAGTAAACCAAGAAAGAAGACCACATGTGTTGCAGACAAAGGGGTGATGGTGAAGGAGGAACCTTGTGAGACAGCTGAATACCAGCTGCAGAGTCATCAGTCCCGATTGCACTTGGGGTCAGGGTTCTGGGGGGAGGACTTCACAGAAATAAGGTGCTGATGAGTTCAGCCTTTCAGAGGATAGTGTCAGTGTGGTTGGAGAACTCTGTTGGAACATTGGGGTTTTAGTGACAGTTACATAGAAAAATAAGCAAATTAAAGCATGTTTTTAAAAAGCTTTGCAAGTAGAGCTGATGGACTGGTAAATTATTAGGAAATTAAGGAGAAAAAGCCACAAACTTCTTCCAGTGAGTTTTAAGCATCTGGTCAATGGATTATCTATTGGATCCATTTTACTTGGGGCCCAGAAAAGCAGTAGTCTTATAATAAGAGTTTGGTACTAAGAAAAGATTCAGGGAGACTTACCAAGTTAGATCTTAGAAGACACCATATTAATGAAGGGTGTAGTGGTTGTTGGAGTTAACTAAACAGTGAGATGGAGTTTTTATTAGTTTTCTCTACTTTATTGTGGTTTTTGGTTGTTGATGTTTTGTAGGCTCTTCAAAGAAATAAGTTTCCGGGACCTAACCACACTGAATCTTACTCTTGGCCTCCCATAGCACGTGGCTATGATGTGGTTGTCATTTCTCATTGTGGAAATGACCCTTTGTTGTACCTTCCACCAGTGCTTACAATTTTGCAAACAGAGGGCTGCTACAAGTCATTACCAAGTAGAAATGGAGTAAGTTGAAGACAATTTTATTTCACAACAAAATGGATTTAAAATTTATTTTTAAATTGTACACCTAACCTTTGGTAAAGTTCAGGTCACATTACTCAATTTGGTTTCCAAACTGCCAGGACAGAAACTGTCCTATGAAAAAATATTCTTTCTCTTCTCCCAGTCATCAGTTCTCTCACAGTGATTCTCATTGTGAGCCCCCAGTTGTGGGCCACTGTCTGAGGCCAGAGAGTCCTGGCTTGTAAAGATGAATATATAGCTTATTAAATGATTTCACTGACCTTAATTCCTCTAATTGTCACGGCAACCATATGAGATGGTCAGGCCATCTATTGTTTTCACTATTTTATGGATGAGAAAATTAAGCTCATGAAGAGTTACTATGATAAATTCTTAACAGCTGACAAGTAGTAGAAGTGGAATTAGAATTTACATTTCTGTTGTCTTGTCCCATGTTCTTTAAATTATTTCATAGCACTCCATCCTGTTTTATAATTCTACTTTTTCCATGTATAAGAACCTGAAAATAGCTGAGAAAGATGATAAATGGAATGTGAGGATCCAGTGGGAGTGGGTAGTGACATCTGCTTTGCTGGATTCTGGCTGTTAGGTGAACTGCTGGGTAGAAAACCTCCATGTCAGATCCTGGCACAAAGGATGCACCACAGATGGTTCTGTCACTCATCATAAGGTGAAAAACAGCAGTAAGAAAACATGCTTAGTGTTGCAGTTAGAAAAGATACCGGTTTATTTTTGTAATTACACCAAGCAGTTTAATGAGCTCCCTTTGGAAATTTGCATGAGTTAATCAAATTTGAATTGAATTAATCAAATTAAATGGATTTATGTACCCCGAATTCGTTAGCAGCTGACTCCTGCTGATGAGATGTGGCTTGTATTGAGGCAGAACCCTGGCTGGGATCAGAAGGGGATGTCCAGGTCTTCCTCTTATATGCCCTCTGCTTTCTCCATGGCTCCATGGTCAGCCTGCTTTCAGGCCTGTGCCACCTGGATCTGCGTAAAGGAAAGAGTGGACTTGCTTTGTCTTCAATTAGTAGAGAGCATGTGTCCAGGAGTGTGTTTGGCAGGCAGTACACCTTTGGGAGGTATCTGTGGGTGAGTAGAATGCAGAATTCAGAAGGTAATCTGCTAAGAAAGAGATGTTAGCCTTTTTTTAAAAAAGTTTTTATTCGATCAAAATTGATTATACATATTTTTTGGGTTCAACATTGACATATGTTGATCAAATCAATATTACTAGCATATATATTGTGACAAATCATACTTATTCTTTATGCCCCTTGTCCAATCTTACCCCTTCCCCTCCCCCCTCTAATTTCCCTAGATTTCTTCTCTTCTTCTGAAAGAATAATGGTTACTCCGTTGATTTGTAGCCTAGATGATCTGTCCAATGCTGAGAGGTGTGATCAGGTCCCCCAATGTTATCATAGAGCAGATGCTTCTTCTGTCACTCTGGAATGGGCTTTGTGGAAAGAGACATTCTCTTCTTTTATCTCTGCTGGTGACTGTCCTTGTGTTGACGCACTCCAGTGGTTGGCAGGCCATCTGCATGGTGGTTGTGGCGTCTAGCCACTTTCACGGCAGCCATGGTTATTGTGGTGGCTGTGGTGGGCCACCCACATGGAGGTGATATTTTTGGCATGCTCCTTGGTGCTGGTGGTGTACCTGGTTGTGGGCCGGGGGTCCAGTCCCTGGCTCCATCCCTCGGGTGCTCGGGCAGGCTCTGAGGCACTGGCATGGTGTGCCTGGTTGTGGGAGGGGGGTCTGGTCCCCGGATCCATGCCTTGTGTCCCCTGGCAGCCCCCAGAGGTGCTGGTGGAGTGCCTGGTTGTGGGAGGGGGCTCCGGTCCCCAGATCCATGCCTAACATCCCTGGGCGGACCCGAGGTGCTGGCAATGTGTCTAAGCTGGAACTAATTTTTTTGTCTTTTGCTTACTTCCAAAATGGGGGAACTTCCTGTTGGGACCAGTACTTGAGCTGTGTGGTTGAGCTAAATTGCTACTTTGCTGCTGCTTCCCTAGGGAAAGCTTTTTGTGCAGCACAGGTTATAATGGTTGACTTTATACGTACTTCCAGCTCTCCAGACACTCAGTGCACCTGGGTTGTATAGAAACTCTGATCTGGGCCTGAGTCTTTTCATCCAACTGCGCCCCATGCAACTCTGTATTTCTGGCCAGTCTCCTCTGAGTGGTCCTACATTGATTGGGGTGCAGATCAGCTGTCCTTGCTGTGCCTCAGTGTTCTCCCAGTGGGCCTGTCTCTCCCACTGACCATAATGCAAACACTTCCCATGGGATGGGCCATGCACCAGTCCCTTGTGATGACTCACTGGCCTCTGAGTGGCTCCTTTTTTTCAGTTGTTGTGGCTCCTCGCTCCTATGTGGGTCAATGGGAGCCCCGTTAGTGGTCTTGCTGGCCTGGGGGCCACCAAGGTCCTCTTCTCCCTTGCCGCCTCCAAGCAACTCCATCCGAAGGGCACAGCTGTGGCTTCTGCCAGCTCCTGCTCCATGTGCTCAGCAGTTCCAGCCTTAAAGCAGCCACGGCCCGAAGCGCTCAGAGCAGTTTTTTCTTTCTCTCATCATAGCTTCTCCTGCCTTCATGCACTGCATAGGTCTGTTCTTCTCTTCCCCTGAGCTCAGTGGCCCCAGCTTGGCTGTTGTTGCTTTTTTATATAGTTGTAAATTTCTCGGAGAGAGTGACGCTGGGGAACATCTATTCTGCCATCTTGACTGGAACTCTATTTAGACCAGATGTTAGCCTTTTTAAAGGCCCCTTTCAGAAGACAATTCACCTCTGTGCCTAGGAGCAGGGGATCTGGAGCCAGACTGCCTGGGTTCAAATCGTGTTGCTCTCATATATTAGCTGTGCAGCTTTGGGCAACTGACTTCACCTCTCTGTGCCTCACACTCCTCATCTGTGAAATGAAGTAATAATAGGCCCTACCCTGTAAGAGTGTTTTAAGGACTAAATCAGTTAATACTTGTGGAGTGCTTAGTTTAAGCCCTAGGAAAATCTGAGTCAATGTGTCTAAATCTATTTTAGTAAAATTATATTTTAACTTTTCTAACCTATATGAAAATGATGTAAAAACTCATTTTGTACTTCATGCAAGGAGATGTCTTGGATGTTTGACAGATACTATGTTTGATTCCTAACTGTCATCCAAAATTATTTGAATTTGTTTGTCTTTGCAGCCTCTTGCAGTCATCGTGTGCCCTGGGTGGAAAAAGGCCCAATTAATTTTTGAATTATTGGGTGACTATAGCATGTCGTCCAGGCCTCTTCATCCTGTGTTATTGACAATCGGACTCCGCAGAGATGAAGCCAAAAATGTGAAGCTTCCAAGGGGGTGTAAGCATCCTTTCCAAACTGTTCGATTTTCCCCACAGAAGACAGTGGAACCCTGCCCATGCTTGTGTGACGATGCAGCTGGTGGTCGCTAGTGCAGACCTCGCTTGTCAGTTACTGATGGGTATCGATTATGAAGGTTTGATCTTGACTTACTTCTTTTTCACTGAGAAAACTATGAGATTTCGTTCATTAATCACCTGTTTACTGAACACTTACTGTTTGTTAGATGCTAGGCACACAGTGTTGACTAAAACCCTGCCTGCCTTTCAGGAGTGCAAAACCTGGCAAGTACCCAGGCATTTAGTCAGATCATGACAGGGCTTAGCCTGGGTAGGTGGGAGTGTTACCTCGCCCAGCTGAGAGAAAAAACAGCTTTTTGTTTAATTAGAAGGCATTTCTAGAAGGTATGTAGAATCTTACCAAAGGAAATGTTAGAGAAACCTGTGGAAAATTCTAAAATATTGTTTTCTTTTAAAATGTAGGTGATGTGATTGTTACAACACCGTATAGCCTCTTGAGACTTCTCACCTATCAAAGCCTGTTGTTTCTTAGACTCTGTCACCTGATTTTGGATGAGGTGGAAGTATTATTCTTTGAAGCTAATGAGCAAGTAAGTCTGGTGTCCATTTAGATGTCATTGCTATTCGGAATATATGTATATCTGAAATATACATGTAAAGTCTTAACTGCCTTAAGGAGTCAGGGAAAGTGTCTACTTGGGGAATAGCTTGGTTAATCTAAAACAATTTTTCCTTTAACTTCTATGATTAAGAAGAGAGAGTATTTATCTGAAATTTCCTTTCCAATGTTAAAGTTCTCTTTGGAGAGCAAAAATTTTCCCAGGGAGATTTTCTACAGTATTTAATTAATACTTTTCTGGTTATGGAAGCAATAATTTTTATTTTGGAAAATTTGAGAAACAGAGAATAGCACTTGCAACAATCCACCATTCACAATTTTACACTCAGAGGTGACCACTCTTACTATTTTCGACTATTTCTTTCTTTTTTTTATTCCTATGTTCGTTGATACATATAATTAACAATATGAAGAACAAATTTTATATACTATTTTCTTTTTTTTTTTTTTTTTTTTTTTTTTTCCTTTTTTCGTTTATACATATAATTAACAATATGAAGAACAAATTTTATATACTATTTTCTTTTTTTTTTTTTTTTTTTTGTCTTTTTCCGTGTCCGGCAACGGATCGCAACCCTCAGTGTTGCCCCCGTACCAGACCGGGGACCGGCATCGGGACCGCAACCCTTGGTGTTGCTCCCACGCCTCGCTCAGCCAGCGAGCGGGAACTGGTCCGTATGTGGGATCCAAACTCTCGGGCGGGAGCGCCGCCGTGCTTCCCAAGCGGCGCACTATCCAGTGCGCCACCGGGCCGGCCCTTATATACTATTTTCTAACTTGCATTTTGCATTTAACAACATTGTATTATTACTTGCTGTCCTACAGCGTGATTGTTATTGGCCATATGCTATTGAATTATATGGGAATAACATTTATTTTTATACTGTCTTATTTGTGGACATAAATTTATGTCCATAATTTGTGTATGTGTGTGGCTAAAGAACATACATCTTCTTTGCACCTGTTTCCCTTAGTATAAATACCTAGGATGGGGATTAATGGTTCAAAGACTATGAATTCTTGTAAGGCATTTGTTGGAAGCAGTGTAACTTGATGACCAAAAGCATTCATGTGGGGGTGGTGATGGTCCCAGATTCAAGTTCAAGCTTTGTTACTTACTGACTGTGTGGACCTGTACAGGGTTCTTGAACTCCTCTAAAGTCCCAGATTCTTATTTACAAAACCAATATCTGGGTATACTGCACTTTACAGTTGCCTTTCGAAAAGACAGACTGATTTCCTCTCCCGTTAGCACTGTGCCACTGGGCCATGCTCCCTGCATTCCTGCTAGTATGAGGCCTTGGCCTGACTTTCTTTTCCAGTCTAATTGGTAAACAGTGGAATCTCATTTGCTTAATTTGTACTTCCTTGATTACTTGTTAAGTTGAACATTCATTCATATTGATCATTTATATCCATTCTTCTCTGAGTCGTTTGCTCATTTCCTTAATTTATGTTGGTGGGATCATCTTTTTCTAGTTAATTTTTAGAATTTTTTATTTGAGAATGTTAATCCCTTGTTAGATGTGTTACACATATTTAGCAAGATGTTTGTGCTTTTTGTTTATAGTGGAGTTTTAGGATGTTTATTGGCTTTAAACTTAACATTTTCTCCTTTTAATTTTTTTTTTTTACTTTTATTTTCAGAAAAGCTTTTCCCACTCTGAAAACAGAAAATATCTGTTACATTTAAAATCCCTTACATTTTATGTTCTGTCAAACTAATTATTATTCTCTTTTGAAATAAAAATGTAATTAATTATACTTATTTTTATTTTTTTAGATACTTGCTATATTACATAACTTTAAAAAAAATATTGAAGTTGAAGAAAGGGAATCTGCACCACATCAAATTGTTGCAGTTGGAGTTCATTGGGACAAACATATAGAACATTTAATCAAAGAGTTCATGAACGATCCCTACGTTGTAATCACAGCCACGGAAGAGGCTGCTCTCTATGGCAATGTTCAACAGGTAACGAGTCGTCTGTGTGTGTGGTGGGGGGCTGATGAACACAAAAAGTAACCTTTTTTTTCATGGCTTAATAGTAAATGATTATAGCTTTGATTTCATACACAAATCTGTAATTGTGTATTTAAATTTATATTGATTTCCTATACATTCTTTACTATGAAAATCATAACTTACCTATGAAAAGTGAAACTTGAACTTTTTAAAGATCACATTGTTTCTGTATTTCATTACCAGGTAGTGCATCTTTGCCTAGAATGTGAAAAAACCTCTACTTTACTCCAAGCTCTTGATTTCATTCCAAGTCAGGCACAAAAGACTTTGATCTTCACCTGTTCTGCAGCTGAAACAGAAATAGTGTGTAAGGTGAGCCCTTCTCCACGTAAATGTTCTCACTGTTTATTTAAACTGGTTGAATCTCAAATCATCAGAAAATTCCTGGGTAGTTGAATATGTGGCAGGGAAATACAGTTTTATGGGTTTCACTCCCTGAAGCTCTGATAGGAGGCCTGGCACTGGTGGAGGAGCCAAGTGGGTGGAACCAGCCTTTCCACTGAAGCAGCATTCCCCACGGGGAGCAGTGCTGGATAGTTTTGGCATAGCGTTAAAGAGGTCCAATTCATGAAGAAATCCAACATTTTCTGTACTCTACTTGAGAAGATAACAGTAAAAAATATTATTGTATAGCCAGAAAAACCAAATTGGCTAAATATTTATTAAATTTAATCTCATTTTGTATACATTAATGCTAAAATGTAGAAACAAAGCCAAATACAGAATAGTAGTAAATCCATCTTTTTGCAAAAATGGACCAGAAGGTGTAGTGTTAAAACCCCTTGTTGACAATGGTACCATGTGTTGTTTGTATACATATACATGTATGTATGAATTATTTAAAAAGGAAGGAAAATAGTTTTAGCAAAATGTTTGTTTCACTGAGTGAGTTTTTAGATATAAACTAGAATTTTGCGAACGTTTATTTAAGTTCACAATTATGTTATTCTCAGGAATTACTGGATCAGTGAGATAATGCCCTCACAGATAATTTAAAGTGTTTTGCATTTATAATTACTGATGAAACAATTGCTTTCATGTTTGTGTTACTGACTGTGAACTGTGGCCTCTTTGGTTTTATCTTTAGGTATTAGAAAGCAGTTCAATGTTTTGTTTGAAAATGCATAAAGAAATAGTTTTTAATTTAAAAAGTGTTTTAGAAGAGTGGAAGAAGAAGTTAAGTTCTGGCTCTCACACTGTATTAGGTAAGTGTTTTAATTTCTACTTACATGTAGAGAAGGCTGAGCTAATAGGAATTATTTCTTCAATTCATTTATATATCTCATCTCTAGATTTTTCCTTATTTCCCACATTTATTGAGAATTTGTTAGTAATGTTAGTTTCAAAATGAAAATTAACCTCCACTGAGATTTTGATGTTGACGTGAATCTAGGTGCCCCTAGGGCTGTCGGGTAAGTAGGCAGTGACCCTTAGTCCAGACATTCTCCCCAGAGTTCTCTAGCTTGGGATCACCATCGTATACACACATATATATAGGGCATATGTATTTGTGTGTGTGTGTGTATGCATGCATGCATATGTATATACCTCTGATGAAACATGGTCATAAATAACAATGTATAAAATAAGTGAAAAATATATGGGCAGCCAGGATTTGTAATAGATATTTTCCAGCTAAAAGGGAGACTACTTTTCTCTGGAATTTAATCACTGGGGCTGTGGCATTTTGTGGAAAAAAATTGGAAAGACATTTCTTTGCATCTAAAAAGTAAAATGCAATGCAGAAACGTACTGCAGTATATTGCTTGTTAAAGGAGGTTCAGTAAACTCCAGCTCATGTGAAATTGTTGGAATCTTTTTCTCCAGCCTTAACTGACGATTGCATACCACTGTTGGCCATCAGCGATGCCACATGTGTGATTCACTTCAGCTTCCCTTCATCGCCAAAAATTTTTGGTGGACGGCTATATTGCATGTCTGATCATTTTCAAAGTTTAACTGAACAGGTTTGATTAATTTTTATCTTCAATATTCCACTGGCATTTTCTGTGTAATGACAAATTCAGAGTCCATAAGCGTTCCTTATTTAGACTGGTATGGATGATCTACTTCTTTTGTTCACCCAATTTTAAGGGCTCTCCTGCAGAACAGGGAGATAAAAAAACCAAATCCATCCTGCTGCTGACAGAGAGAAATGCAAGTGATGCAGTTGGGGTCCTGCGCTACTTGGAGCGAGCAGATGCCAAAGTTCCACTGGAGCTGTATGAGTTTACTGCAGGAGTTCTGGAAGCCAAAGAAGATAAAAAAGCCAGAAGGCCTCTTTGTCCCTATCTTAAGGCTCTCGGTTTTTGCAAGTAAGCCAGTGTTCTTTTTTAAAAATTGAAGTATAACATTAGTAAAGTGCACAGATGATAAGTACACAGCTTGATGAATTGTTGCATACCTGTCACACCCACCCATGTAAACCACCACCCAACTCTGAGGGGGCACCCCAGAGATTCCCTGTCATTCTTCCTGAAGTGTCCCACCCCAGAAATAACCACCTCTGGAGAGCTGTCAACACTGATTTTGCTTGTTTCTGAACTTTATGTAAATGGAACTCTTTTATGTATGTACTCTTTTCTGTCTGACTTCTTTCCCTCATCCTAATATCTGTGACTTTTGTCTATGTTGTTGTGTGTATCTATATTTTTAAAATTTATCTTGTGGCACAGTATTCCATTGTATGAATATATCATAGTGTACACTCGTGTATCCATTCTCCTGTTGACGGGTCTGCGGGTTGTTTGCAGTTTGCAGTTGTTATGTATGAAGTTGCTATGAACACCCTTGTAGTGTCTTTTTGTGGAAGTAAGCACCCGTTTCTCTTGGATATATAATAGAGAGTGAACTGGTTAGGTCAGGGGTTAGGCATATGGTTAACTCTGCCAAAGTGGTTGACCATGTTACAGTCCTGTCAGTAGTGTACAAGTGAGTTTGAGTTGCTCTGCATCCTCACCAACACTTAGTATTCATGGGTGTGTAGTAGTAAACCATTGTGATTTTGTTGTTGTTTTTAAACCATTGTGATTTGAATTCATGTTTCCCTAATGATCAGTGATGTAGAATATCTTTTCATATGTATGTGGGACACTTGACCATCCTCTTCTTGTGAAGTGTCTGTTCAGGTCTTTTGTCCATGTTTTAAATGGGGGTGTTTATCTTTTTCGTACTGCTTTGTGGTAGTAATTTATATACTCTAGGTGTAAGTGCTTTTTCTGATACATACGTTGAGAATATTTTCTCCCCATCTGTGGCTTGCCTTTTCACTCTTAATAGTCTTTTGATGAACAGAAATTCTTAATTGTTATTCTGGAAAAAAATTATAGAATGTTTTCATGACTTCGAAATAGGCAAATATTTCATATATAAGGATATTCATCAGAAGGCTATTAAGAGTGAAAAAGCAAACCACAGATGGAGAGAAGATATTCTCAATATATGTAGTTACTTTTTTGTACATCCTTATACTGAAATATTTGCCTATTTCAAGGTCATGAAAACATTCTCCTGTAATTTCTTCTAGCATCTTTATAGTTTTAGCATTCACATTTAGGCCTATAATCCGTATTGAATTAATTTGTATCTATAGTGTAAGATACAGGGTGAGGTTTGCTTTTTTCCATATGGCTAATCATTTGCTCCAGCATCATTTACTTAAAACATCATTCTGTTTTCACTGAATTAGTGCTTTGACATAAGCCAGGTGATAGTAAATGCAGTCCATTTTTGGACTCTGTTCTGTTACATTGGTCTATTTGTCTATCCTGACACCAATGTGGTACTACACTTTCTTAAGCACTGTAGCTTTATAGTGAGTCTTGAATCTGGTGTAAAGTCCTCCAACTTTGCTCCTCCTCAAGGTTGTTTTGGCTATTTTAAATCTATTTCATCTCCGTATACATTATAAAATAGGCTTGTCAATTTATTCTAAATCCCTCCTGGAATTTTGATAGGGACTGTATTGATTCTATAGATCAAATTGGAGAGCATGGATACTTTACCAGTCATGGGGTCCCCTCTAACTGGTCCAGACACAGTGGGTGGCTGAGGCTGGGGCCTATGTGTCTGATATTTATCTACTGGGTTGAATTTAATTTTAATATAACTGTTGATGTTAACTTTTTTGAAATATGGTACATTAAACAGGTTATTAGCAACAATTTCCATTATTCCTTTAAGTAGAATATTAACTTTTGAAACAAACTTCAACTATTTCTCAGTTTCAAAGTAACATTATAGTTAAGGAATGGCTTCTGGTTTAGAGGTTAACTGACCTTTATTGTGGATTATGGTGATGTGTATCTGATTCATAGTCTTTATTTTGGAAGTGTATTTTGTTCATTTACATAATGCATTTAAGAATGTCTGCAGAAATAAGGAAGTAACCCTTTCCTTTAAGTCTATTCAGTGTTAATTAAATTTTAGAATTCTTTTTCACTTATTTATGTATTGTTAGTGTCATCTGAAAAATTTAATATGGTTACCTAACTTTTAAGGTGTTTTTGAATAAAAGTTCTCTGACTTGGGTTGTAGATTAATTTTCTGAAGAATGCATAACAATCCATGTTAACAGTTTTTTTGTTTTTTTTTTTCCCAGAAACAAAAGGATCTGTCCTGACCGACACCATATTAATCCAGAAATGGACATGCCAAGGAAATTGTCCAGCCAAGCTCTACCAATGTTTGGATGCATTAAAGTAAGTTCTGTTAAAGATTCTTTTATCCGGTGATTGATGGTCATTTTAACGAACATCTTTTTTAAGCAGCAGAATCTGAGTAGAATATAATTATGACTTCCGGTGGTCAATATTAACGTACCACCATTAATTGGACAATAGGCACGGGTCCTTATAAGCTGTCTTAATTCAGGCCCCCATTTTATTTATAAAACCAAGATCAAATTGGGTAAATGGATGACAGTTTAGGGATGTTTTTAGTTATGTTTTCAGGAAAAAAGTTGTTTCCATTTGGGGGCTATTAAAAATAATGCAGTAATTATATGATTTTTTTTTTTAAAGATTACTGGTAAGGGGATCTTAACACTTGATTTGGTATTGTCAGCACCACGCTCTCCCAAGTGAGCCACAGGCTGGCCCTATATGATTCTTTTCAAAACATTCATGATTATTTCTTAAAGAAAATTCTGAGATACAGATATAATTGATGAATTAAAATTCTGTTATTTTTTTCAAATCCTTTTTAAGGCATGATCTGTTGTGTTAGCTTCCTAGGCTGCTGTAACAAATTACCACAAAGATGGTGAATTAAAGCAACGCAAATTTATTCTCTCACAGTTCTGGAGGCCAGAAGTCTGATATCAAGGTGTCGGCAGGGCTGTGCTCCCTCTGAAGCCTCTAGAGGACGATCTGCTCCTTGCCTCTCCCAGCTTCTGTTGACTCTATGTGTTCCTTGGCATGTCTCAGCCTGTAGCCACATCACTCCAGTCTCTGCCTGCAGCTTTTCATTGCCTGTTCCTCTTCTCTCTCTGTCTCTTATAAAGGACACTTATCACTGGATGGAGGGCCTGCCCAGATAATCCAGAAAGATCTCCTCATCTTGAGATACTTGATTACATCTGCAGAGACCCTTTTTTTCAAATAAGGTCACAATCATAATGACCTTGGGAGTTAGGATATGGACATATCTTTTTGGGGGGGGCACTATTCAACCCACTACAGTTTTCATTATTAAAGTAATTTTTTCTTTAATTTCTAATTCTTTCCTGAGTTCTATCACCTAATTTCTAACTTTTTCTAATTCTGATTTATATTATTCTTTTATATCATATATCATTTTCTTAATTTAACAAGAAAAAAGGCAGCTTGTTTTGAAATTGAAGGTTACAATTTTGATCTGTTTTGTGGATACATCTTTCTCATGGCTTTCATTGTAAGAACTGTTATTCTGCTCTTTACATTTTTTAATTACTTCATTACATTTTATTGATGTTGTTATTTATTTTGTTATTTTATTATGATGTAGTATGGATTTGATCTTGATAATTTGCTATTGCTTATTTTTAGATAAATTTTGTTTTCCTTTGATTTTATTCATTCATTCATTCATTTAACATTTACTCATTTATTATAAAGGATATTACAAAGGATACAGATGAAGAGATGCATAGGGTGAGGTGTGGGGAAGGGGCTCGGAGCTTCCGTGCCCTCCAGGAACCCTCAGTGTTCAGCTGTCTGGAAGCTCTTTCCTTCACTTTTAGAGGAGGTGTGGGTCAGTTTAACTTCTAATTTCACAGAGTTCCCATTTCTGTTGTTTATGTGTTGTGTAAAAAAAAAAAAATGTGGTGATATAGTGTCTGAGAGTTTTGAGATTTCCTCACTCTGTTTTCTTCCCCCACTTTTATCTGCCTTTTCTCTTTCTGCATCTCTCTTATCCCTGCAGGGACAGTTTAGAGATTTCACAGGGGCTCCAGCCCTCACCCACTGTTGGAGCACATTGCCCATCAGGTTTTCAGTGAATGACTGTTGCATCTTTTGGAGTTCTCTGTTCTCGGGTCCATCAGATGCTGTATTGCTTCCCTCTGCTTCTTCCTACCCATGTGTAGAAGTCATAATTATATCCTATTGGGATTCTGCCACTTAAAAAAATAAAACATGTTCATTAAAATGACCATTAATCATTGGGCAAAAGGATCTGCATGTTACTTGAAGACCTTGTAGATGTCGGTGGTTTTTGCTTATCTGCTTTTTGTTGTTGTTTTTTAAATTAATAGATTTTAATTTTTAGAGCATGTTTAGGTTTATAGAAAATACAGAGTTCCCATAAACCCTTCCACCCCCACACAGCCTCCCCTATTATTAACATCTTACATTAGTATGGTACATTTGTGACAATTGGTAAGCTAATATTGATACACTATTATAAACTAAAGTCCATAGTTTACATTAATGTTCACTCTTGCTATGGTGCGGTTCTGTGTGTTTTGACAAATATATAATGACATGTATGATGTATATAATCCATATATCTGTGTGATTATAGTATCATACAGAGTAATTTCACTGCCCTAAAAATCCCCCATGCTCCACCTATTAATCCCTCTCCCTTTTCCCCAGAACTCCTGGTAACCACTGATCTTTTTACTGTCTTCATAGTTTCGCATTTTCCAGGATGTTACATAGTTGGAATCATATAATACGCATCCTATTCAGACTGCCTTCTCTCACTAAGTAATGTGCATCTAAGTGTCCTCCATGTCTTTTCTTGGCATGAAACCTCATTTCTTTTTAGTTTGAAATAATAGTCCATTGTCAGGGTGTATCAGTTTATTTATCCATTCACCTACTGAAGGACATCTTGGTGGCTTCCAAGTTTTGGCAGTTATGAATAAAGCCACTGTAAACATTCACGTGCAGGATTTTATGTACGCATAAGTTTTCAGCTCATTTGGGTAAATACCAAGGATTGCGATTGCTGGATCATATGGTAAAAGTATGTTTAATTTTGTAAGAAACTGCCAAACTGTCTTCCAGCATGGCCGTACCTTTTTGCATTCCCAGCAGCAGGGAGTGAGAGTTGTTGCTGCTGCACAGCCCTGTCAGTGCTTGGCATTGTCAGCATTGTCCTACAGATGTGCAGTGGTACCTCATTGTTTTAGTTCGCAGTTCCCCAGTGGTGTAGGATGTTGAGCATCTTTTCAGCACCGCACTCTCCCGAGTGAGCCACGGGCCGGCCCAGAGCATCTTTTGATATGCTTATATGCCATCCGTATGTATTCTTTGGTAAGGTGTCTAGACATTTTAATCGGTTTGTTCATTTTCTTATTGTTGAATTTTAAGAGTTCTTTGGATATTTGGGATACCAGTCCTTTATCAAATATGTGTTTTGCAAAAATTTTCTCAAGTCTTTGGCTTGTGCGTTCATTCTTTTTACAGTGTCTTTTACAGAGCAGAAGTTTTAATTTTAATCAAGTCAACTTACCAATTTTTTATTTCATAGATTGTGCTTTTGGTGTTATCGTAAGTCTTTGCCAAACCCAAGTTCAACTAGATTTTCACCTATATTGTCTTCCTTATCTGCTTTTATTTTGGCGTCCATGGGGATATTTTTTCCAACTGTTTTTTTATCCTTGGTTTGGGGTTTTGCCATCTCACTGCTCTGTCTTTATGTGGGAATTCAGAGAGACTGAAAAACTGATACTTCGTTGCCACCACCTTCCCAGAGCCCTTCTAACCAAATCTCTTTTTAAAATCAGCTATATTGCGGTATAATTTACATATGATAAAAATCACTATTTTTAAGTGTATAGTTAGTTGGGTTTTGATAAATGTATACAGTCATGTACCCACTACCACAATCAACATATAAATATTTCCATCACTACAAAAGGTCTCTCCTGTCCCCTTGCTAACTCCCCATGGGTGGGTGGGGGCGACTGTGTGGGTGGGGCCACATGGGCAGCTGGATGATTGGGCCCTGGTGGGCAGGTGGGGCTGGGCTAGTGGCCAGGTGGTTGTGGTCACACAAGTGGCCAGGGCCATGCAGGCGGTGTGGGCCATGTGGTGGGGTTTGCTGTGCAGATGAATTCCTGTGTGGGGAGGAGGACCACTGCTCTGGGCCTAGACAAGACCACCGTGGAGGTGGTAGGGGTGGGCTGGGGCAGGAGCAGGAGGAGGATTACCACTGGGAAGTACTCACAGCCAAGCAGATTCTTTCCACCACAAGTGAGAACTCCTGGCTGATCCTGGTGTCAGAGACATGGGGCAGCTGCAGCCGTGTGCCTCTTTCTCCTCTGCACCACACTGCTTGGTGCCCCACAGGGTCTTCACCAGGCTCCCACTGCCCTCCTACACTCTCCCACCAGTGTGTCCCCTGTACTTAGCTGTCCATTCCTTTGTCTTGTCCCTTTCTGTGGGAGGATCTGTTGGGCACCTCTAGCCATCATCTTGCCCCACCCTCCTTCTCTCTGTCATTTTTCTTTGTGCATCTTTTAAAAATTTTGTTATTGGCATATATATTATGCCCTGCCCATTTCTTATAATATTGTAGTGGGCATTTTCATCCTCAGTACCACCTCGTGTTCAGTGACAGCCATCACGGAGTGGCCTAATGTCTGGAATGCCAGACCGTGGAGGGCTCTAAGCATAGGGGAGAAGACTCCATTTACCAGCACTCCCCAGGAGAAGACTGGGTCTGAGATAGGAAGGAGTACAAAACTCACTGCCTGTGGTGGGGGCAGGCAGAGTAAGCTCTGAGGGTTTATTGTGGCAGCTTTCTACTTGGTGCTGGAGAATGGCTGGCTTGATTACCATCGTAGATTGTTCCCCATCCTTTTAGGGTTGCATTCCCATGGGGATGGTCAACAAGGGACATGTAAGTAAGAAGATGACTCTATGTAGTGACAAGTGCTATGAAGAGGATGGAGTGCAGTGAAGTACTAGAGAGTGTCCTGGTGTAAGTGTGCCAGGGGGACAAGTGGCCCTTTGGAAGTTATAAGCAGGGAGGAACTCTCTGAAGAGTCGACCCAACTGCACTGAGGCCCAAGTGATAAAAAAGATCCAGTTGTGGGAAGATATGGGGAAGAATATTGTGGGCAGAGGAAGCAGCAAGTCCAAGGCCCAGAGGCAGTAGTTCCTGGGGTGTGTTCGCAGGCAGGACAAGGCTCACTGGCAGTGAGAATGCGAGAGTGGCAGGTAATGAAGTTGGAGGGGGCCGCAGACGAGGCTGTCAGCCTCTGAGACCCCACACCTTTTTTGATCACAAGGAGCGACCTCATCCCTGCCTACCTTGGTCCCAGTCAGCACTGCCCTTTCCCCCTTCCCTACAAGCAGCTACTTCTCACTCCTGGCATCTGCTCTGGGCAGCCAGGGCTCCTTGCCTTAATGCAGGTTGTTTAGACCCTCTGTCTGAAATGCCTCCTCCATACTTTGGCTAACATGTGGGCACCAATATTCCCTCTCACACACTGACATTCCCACTAGCAGGCCAGTATCATTGCATACCCTTACCTGTGAAGAGTTGTCTTCTTGAATGCACACTGCTATGGCTTATCTATCCACTTCTGGGTTGCTGGGGTCCCTGTAGGACATGGTTTTCTCTGTGGTTGATATACAGTAAGCTCTTAAAATGCTTCTTGTACATGAAAAAAAGATCAGAAGGGGCTCAAGAGACAGCTGTGTTGTTTTAAGAAGAATTTTTTTGAAAGTGCAGTTAAAAAGTAAACAAAGGAACACTTATACCTAATAATGAAATTTTAAAATAATGAAAATTGCAAAAAAATCTTCCTTAAAATGAAGTTATAATTATTGGTGAATATGGTAAGATACTTATTTTGTTTTGGTTTTTAGGCCAGCTTACCAGTTTATTTATTTTTAAATACCTATTTGTATGCTTTTGGTTTGCAGGTCAAGTGCTTATTTCTGCAGGTACAGTGAGCGTATACATCTTTGGTTTAGATTTTGTTTACTGTGTATGTTTCAGATAATACCTTTTTATATTTCGAATGCAACAAATTACTTTGGTCGTATAATTGATAAACATGTGGATCTTTGTGCAACTCTGAATGCTGAAATGAATGAGTATTTTAAGAATTCCAGTAATAAAACCACTGTTGAAAAGGCGGAGAAGTTTGGATTATATGGATTAGCAGAAAAAACACTTTTTCATAGGTAAAGTCTATTTTTATTTTATCTCTAAAGTTGTGAAGCATAAGATAACTTTAAATGGCATTGAATTTCTATTTTTACCTCTGTCTGTTTGACTGAGTGTATATGTACTAAACCTGGCTGCCTTCCAATGTCCCCCTGACACCTGGTACAGTTCTATGCGTGAAACTCTACCCAAGATTCCTGAGCACAGAGCACAGTGACAGTGTAACTGCAGACGTTTATTGAGCCGTCACTATGAATGACATACACATTCATCTTTAACTAATTTATTTCTTTCAAATTCCTGTAAAATGGGCGCCATCCCCATTTTACAGATAAGCAAACTGAGCCTTGGCAATGTTACATAAGTTGTCTAACGTCAGCTCACTAAATGGCACAGTGTCCAGCCCAGTCAGTCTGACTCACTCGCTTGTTTGCACCTACCTCCCTTGAAGCCACACCCATGTCACTTTGTGATAGCCTTGATTCAGAAATGCTGAAACTTTAATTTGCTATGTTAATTTTTATTATGTTGTCATATAAAGGGATTTACTCTATTCAAAAGTACTACATGTTTTTATACTTATGTATACTTTAAATAATCCACCTCTAAGTGCTTTCAAAGGCCTTAGTTTTTAAATTTCTAGTGTAGAGTAAAAATCATGCAGTTTAGGAGTCTTTTGTTTGTTTTCCATTTAACGGGTACGTTGAGGCAAAGATTATTTCCTTTTTGGAATCTCTGTGTTAAACTGACGCCGCCATTGTTCCCCAGGGTTCAGGTGTTGGAGATGAGCCAGAAAGAAGACACTTGGGTCCTGGATAATGTCCTTGTAAAGTTCATAGATGAAGGCAGGACTGGACTTGTCACAAGAGGCCAACTGTTGCATCTCCCAGAAAACTTCCACACTCTTCCCCCACAAGCTGTGGAGTTTATTGTTTGTAGGGTGAAACCTGCTGACAATGAAATTGAATGGAATCCAAAGGTGAGTTTTTTGGCTTTTTATGTTTTGTTAACTTTTAGTATATATTTCAAATGGAATATACAGAGAATCGAGGCTTATTTGAATTTGAAGTATTGAGTTTAAGCAAATTGCTTCATGTTCCTAGGCAGTTAAAGCATAGTCTGCTTAGATCCTTGCGGGTGCAGGAATGTACCAACTGCCACTCGTGCATAGAACCCAGCTGTGAACCCTCAGAGAGATGCTGGGTGTCCTTCACACTGTCACCATTGTCTCTACTGCTTACAATTTTAGAATTGGCATAAAATAGGGATCGTGGTAAAATAAATTAGCTATCAGCATACAGAGATGAAATAGTATAAGCACCTACAAAAATGGGTACCACAGCCAACGTGGAGCTATAGGTGATAGATGTTCTCTGGAGAGGCCAGGAAATTCCACTGGAGTTGAGAGGATGGACAAGGAAGGAAAGATGGAGGCCAGATAAATTTCCAAAGAAAGGGACGTTTCCCCTGGGACCTGTGGGGTAACTAGGATATCACCAAATAGAACGGTTAAGGCACTGAAGGGAAAGAAAACTACCTGTGCCAAGGCACAGAGCACAGAAGAGTGGTACCAGTGGATTCAGTTGAGGATGGAAAGGCTCAGCCCTTGCCGACCAGGTAGAGGCCAGCCAGAAAGTCCTGTTCATTACTGCAGCAGTGAGTCATGTTCATGATGATGGTCCTGATTGTTCAAGGAAGAATCAAAGGAAGGTGAAATTTTGTGTAATCTGATTAATGAGATAGGAAATAAACCATTGCAATTGGCAAAGTAAAAACAATGTGGGTTATAAGCAAGGTTAAACATTATCCAGGTATAAACCAAGTGAATGTGTCCATGAAATAGGATAAATACACAACCTCATTGTTGTGAATTTAGTAAAAATTTTTATCCTTTATCAAATAGTCTTTTTCCTTTGTGTAGTAAGTGTTTACGGAGTGTCCACTGTGTGCCAGGTGCCATGCTGGGTTCTGGGAATTTAGCTGGCAGCAAGAAGGTCATGGTCTTTGTCCTCAAGACACATTTGGTCTATAAAGATGATTGATGACAAGTATTCCTTGAAGAGCAGCCTTCTGTAGAAATGGGGAAAAGGGGCCGGCTCGTGGCTCACTCGGGAGAGTGTGGTGCTGATAACACCAAGGCCCCGGGTTCGGATCCCATATAGGGATGGCCAGTTCGCTCACTGGGCGAGCGTGGTGCTGACAACACCAAGTCGAGGGTTAAGATCCCCTTACCGGTCATCTTTAAAAAAAAAAAAAGAAATGGGGAAAAGTTCTCCTGTGTGTAATCTTCCAGATTCATTTACAAAGTTCAAGGGAGATAGAAGCAATCTGATGACAATGGGCAGCCTCCCTTCTGTTCTGCTTTATTGGTGTTACAACATGCATGAAAGAATGGCTGGACAGGTCTTAGCTGCTGTGACCCTTCTTGAGTGGAAAACAGTTACATGCTCAGGAGAGAGAACACAAACGACCAGGGTCCCTCAATTCCAATGTTGGATTACAGAGTGGCTCCATCACCATGACATCCTCTGGAGCAGCAGGAACAACTTTCACTTCACTGTCATTGAGCTTTCAAAGGAGTAAACATCCATACTTTAAAGACAGGTTGATGGTTGTTAGAGGAGATGGGGGACACATGTCCACAGTGGGAAAGTACTGAATTAGGAATCCAGAGACACGGACCCTGACCCATTCTTGGAGCTCACCCGTGCGAGGCCTCACGCAGGTTCCGGCACCTTCCTGCATCTGTCCTTATTAAGCTCTTCTGTTGCCCCTGTCCACAAAAGGGAGATGATGGCCTCATAGCCTCAGAGGGTCCTCGGTAGTCTCAAATGCATGGCATAGTTCCCAAATTATATAACATATACAGTATAAGATATTTTGTTAAGTCCTCAGATAAATAACTTAAGTGCTTTTATCAGGTTACTAGGTACATTCATCATAAAATTGTTGGAAAATTGCATGATGCAAAAGTGGTATTGGCTTTGGGAAATACGGTTTGGATTGATCCAATGGTAAGTATGCAGTTTTCTTAAAAAAAGAAATCTCTTTGAATGGGCCCCTAAAATAATCGAAATTATTCTAAAGTGATGCTTGAATAACTGTTTGCTTCACAGAAATGGAGGCTTATTGGTGGCTCTGTGTTAGGAAGAGGTGTTTTTCATGTTATTTGGGTCATGAATTGGTTCTGGTTTGGTTTTTAAGGGAATATTTTATGTCATAATGTGGTGCACACATGCATTTGTGTATATGACACACACACTTGCATACAACCAAAGCTTCGTGAAACTATCCTTACTGCATGTGACATCCTTTAATATTTACATTTCTATTCTATTTCATGTTTTCAACTGTTGATCATGAACCATTGTCGATCTCACAGAGAGGCCCTGGGTCAATGACTGCTGCAAGAGTCCCCATCTTTTCTAGTTTGTAAGTGATCCTAAAGATGTGGGACATGACCAGTAATATTGAGGAGTCCAGTCCTCAAGCATTCAAAGATAGGTTTTATCACATTCATAATTTCTACCTTGTTCATTCACCAAATATTTACTGAGCACCTACTATGTGCTAGGACCAGTACTGCACACTTGGGTTCCACCTGTGAATGAAGCAGATGAAGACTCCTGCCCTGTGGAGCTGACCTGGGGGGAGGGGTGGTGAGTGTGAGACAAGGACATGTGAGTGAGGGCGCCTCTGTGCCTCTTCCTGAGGCTGGCACCGTCCCCTGCCTGTCTGCCGCCAAGAACCCTACTTTTCCATTCAGAATTTTGCTGCATTAGACTTAAATCTTAATTATTATGATTATTTATAAGATTTAAAGGAATTCAGTTCATACAAACTGTTTTGCTGAAAGTTATTTTTATAAGGTTGGCAAAGCTTTAACACTTTAAACGGGGAGTTTGGATATAAGATTTAAGGTAAGAGAAAATGGTTTTTAGAGGAGAAAATAAAGATTACCAGTGTAAACAAATGAAGAGATTTGGGGGTCTTAGTTGATATTTTAATAGTATTGTAGTTGTTCTTTATTGGAGAAAAATGGAAACTTTATTAAGCAGGGATTTTTTTTTAACTATAGCTAAAAAAAAAATTTAAAAAAAAAAAAAAAAAAGGCCCTGGCTGGTTAGCTCAGCTTGTTAGAGCATGTTGCTGATAACACCAAGGTTAAGGGTTCAGATTTCTGTACCAGCCAGCACCAAAAAAATTTTAAAGAAATAAAACTATAGCTAAAGAATGAAGCAAAAAAGAAAACCTACCTGGCAGATATGTCTCCACATCTCCAAAGTGTGTAACAGTGTCCACTGGCATACTAAAAGGAAAAGAGACCCCCCACATTTGCCTTCTCCAGTTCAGTCCCCAGTTTGATTGGAGAAAGGCTCGTCTGCACAGTCCCAGATGGGAACACTTTTCCAGGATTCACTTAGGAAGGTACCCCAGACAGTGCCAGCCTGGCCCACCCCACCCCCTGACATGGAAGGGACATTTAGTCCTGTATCCACACCCTCCATCAACAGGAATTGGACTGTTGCAGATTTTCATGTTTTACTTAATTTTGTATAAATTGAAATGGACGAGAATGTTTTGGTTGCAGAGAAGACAAGTGGAGGATTTTGTCCAGAACACAGGATTTAGGGCCTTGGCATAGGCCCTTTCTGGGCATGTGGGGACTCTGAGTCTTAGGATCCTCCTTGTTAGTAGAAGTAAAGGTTGTTGATTGAGAATCAGAACAAAATAGAATTTTATGTTTGGTTACAGCATTACAGATTGGACTCAACTAGAGATTTTATTTCAGGGTTTGATCTTGTCCCCACCCCACACCTGGTCATATTTCTGTGGTGGGGCCTGAGCTTTGGAAGATTCTGATGTAACCTTGGTTATGAAATGATCCAGATGCTGCCATGAGAAGCCCTTGCACATTGTGGCCTGTGCCAAAGTGCATGAGACATTGCAGAGAGAGATTGAGAGGCCATGTCAGATTGATTCAATTAAAATTCAAAGTGTGATTCCTGCAAATGTTTTTTTCTTTGATTCAAGGTGCACATTACAAAACTTTCAAATTTGAAAACTTCTATCATTGATTATAATGTTCGAGTTGAAATTTTGTCAATGGGAATGGGCATTGATAATCCAGAACATGTAGAACAATTGAAAAAATTATACAAAGAAGCTAAAATGCCAGCTTTTGAAGAAAGCTTAAGCCAAACCCTGTAAGTAGATTTTCATCTTCCTTTTGGAAGAGGTGTTTTATGGAAATAGAAGTCACAAAGGTTAAGGACATTTTTTAATGAAAGTAGAATAGTTTAACGAGTTTCCTGTTTCCATACTCAGCTTTAATAATTACCAAGATTTGGGCAATCTTTTTTATCCATACCCCAATCCATACTCTTGTTTTTGGTGGAGTATTATAAGACAAAACTCAAATATCTTATTTTAACTGTATCTCTTGCAGAAAGGATTTTTAACTTTTTATTGCAAATAGCACACAGACAGAAAAGTGCACACATCATAAGTTTGATGGGGTTTCTGAACACACGCCCATGTAACCAGCTCCAGATCAAGAAACAGACATAACTTAGGGCCTCCTCCTGCCTTCCAGTCACTCCCCTCCCCAAGAGGAGCCATTTTCCTCATGTGGAAAAACATAGATGGGTTTTCCCTGGTTTTGTACGTAGCAGTTTGTGAAATTAATCTATATTTAGATTATAAGTGCATGTGGCTGTAGATGTAAACTGTCATTGCTACAGAATGTTCTTTGTATGAATATACCATAATTTGTTTACCCATCCTATAGTTGACTGGAGAAATATCCAGTTTTAGGTTACTTCAAGTACTGGTGGTGCTTTAAACATTTTCCTACATGTCTTTTGGTACACTTAAAAATATATTTCTGGGCCGGCCCAGTGGCGCACTGCTATAGTGCGCCGCTTGGGAAGCGCGGCGGCGCTCCCACCGAGGGTTCGGATCCCACACACAGACCGGTTCCCGCTCACTGGCTGAGCGAGGCGCAGGGGCAACACCGAGGGCTGCGATCCCGTTGCCGGTCCCGGTCCGGTACGGGGGCGACACTGAGGGTTGCGATCCGTTGCCGGACACGGAAAAAGACCAAAAAAAAAAAAATACATATATATATATATATATATATTTCTGATGGAATGGAATTGCTAAGTCATAATTTGAACTATTGCCCAAGTTTTTTCCAAAATAGTTGTACCTGTTTACACTCCCATAAGCAGTGTATATGAGAGATTATGAAAGTCACTCTGAGAAAGTATACTGGCAACCCCCACAGGGGGAAGATGGGCACAGCACTTGTGTCCACCACAGGATTTGTATGGTAGTCCCCCCTTATCTGCAGGGGATACATTCCAAGACCACCAGCGGATGCCTGAAACAGTGCTAGTACTGAACCCTGTGTATACTATGTTTTTTTGATCTGATAACCAAGACAGCTTGTAAGTGACTAATGAGTGGATAGCGTGTAAAGTGTGGATATACTGGACAAAGGCATATGGTGCTAATCATAATCCCAAAAGACAGTCCTGAATGCCAGAATCCTGAATGTTGAAATCCCAAAGGATCAAAATTCCTAAAGTCTAAAATCCCCAAAATCACAATCCTGAAAGATCAAAATCCCAAAAATATAATTCTAGGAAAAAATAATTTTAAAAAATTCTTTAAAAGAAAAATTTTTTAAAAGGAATTTACTTGAGAAATTTTGAAAAAGGCCACTTTACACAATAAAATAGGCAGTAATATACATATTTTTGCAAGCATAAGTAGACTCCTCCAGGTACATGAGGAGTCTTCAAAAAGTTTATGGAAAGATTTGTATTATCTTTCAATCTCATTTGTCCATGAACTTTTTAAAGTACCTTTGTACTAATGACAGTCACACAGTTATATATATATTTGAGCCAAAATCTCAAGAAACTTTATTTTTCATAAATGCAGATGTATAAAAAGGACATTCCTTCCCCAGCATATGGGTTTCAGGATTTTAGCATTTGGGATTTTAATCTTTCAATTATTGTGATTTGGGAGATTTTAGATATTAGGAATTTTGATCTTTTGGGATTTTAACATTCAGGATTATGGTGTTGGGATTGTGTCTTTTGGGATTATGGCCTAAACCCACAAATGTGGTTACCTGCTCAAAGAACCAAAAGAATAACACAACTTAAAATTTTTAAAAGAATGAGGTGGCCCTCTGTGCTGATATGAAGTAGTCCCTAGCCAGTTATTAAGTGTAATACACAAGGGGCAGCACACTGAATTTAGTAGGTTCCCATGTGTTTAAATGTGTGTGTGTGTGTGTGTGTGTGTGTGTGTGTGTGTGTTTTAGATAGAGAGATGTGGATGTCAACTTTTGAATTTCTATACAAAGAGTATTTCTAGAAGTAGACCCAAACTGGTAACAGGGGTGGTCTCTGGGAAGATGGCCTGAGAGACTGGGGCAGGGGAGGAAGAGAAACTGGCTTTTTGCTTTCTGCCCTTTTATTCTGTTTGAAGTGGGTAGCAGTGCGTGTTGTTATTCTCGAAGTTGAGTGAATTTGGAAGATTATTTTGGTAAATGAGTTAGTACCTTTCTTTGATAATATGTGTCAGTCATCCACTGTGTGCTTGATGTGAGGGCCACAGCAGTGAGCAGAGCTGACTGGCCCTGCCCTGGTCCTCTGTAAACGAGGTATCAGCTGTATGTGGATCTGACTCCAGGGTGACAAGCACTCCCCAGTCCTTCATTGCCTGCCTTCCTCTTCTCTCTGGGAAGTTCTCGAAGACAGCCAAACTGCCTGAGTGCCTCCCAAAGCCCAGGACTTAACCTGCACCTCTTCTGTCCAGGGCACCTCCTTCAGCAGATGCTGCTGCTTGTCTGCAGAGCACACACCAAGAGGATGGGGGTGAAGAAAGAGAGGTGGACTCCAAGACAAAGTCAGAAGACCCAGAGTCTGGTTGGTATATGTTATTTAATAAATAGTTACCTTTAAATCAATCATGTTTGTAAATTTTCTAAGGTTTAGACTTGCCACTTTGAGACGAAATATAGAGGTGACACAAACTGATGTTACCTGTATTTATTTTTGACAATTCAGCTTCCAAAGTTTGTTTTTTGCAATTGTTTTCCTTTCTGTTATTTGAGGTATAACATATATCCAGTGAGGTGCACAGATCTTAAGTGAATAGCTCATCAGAGTTTTTACACATGTATATGTCCATTAACCACATCCACATCAAGTTGTTGAATGTTTCTAGTACCCCAGCAGTCTCCGTTCTGAGTGACCACTATTCTGATTTCTGTCACCATTAGTTTTGCTGAATTAGAAGCAGATAGCATATACTCTTGTGGCTTTTTTCAATCAACATTATGTCTGTGAAATTCATCTGTATTGTTGCAAGTAGCAGTAGTTTTTCTTTATTGCTGAGTTGTAGTCCGTAATATGAATATAGCACAATTGTTTGTCTACTGGTAGATGTTGGGTTGTTTTCCATTTGGGGCTGTTGGATTAAAGCTGCTATGAACATTCTAGTTCAAGTTTTTGGAGAGAAGCTCAGATGTTTTAGATTGAGAAGTTTAAATTGGATTGTTTTAGAAACTGTGATGTTCTTAGTTGCCTCCTTAGCTCAGTAGGTAGGTTGTCAGTCTCAGAAAATGTTATGTTCGGCGTTTGTTCCTAGTGCATATTGGCTGCTGCTCTGGAAGTCATCTTTGGTGGGGTCCTGGCAGCACCAAAGAAGCCTGAACATTTGTGTCTTGTGGCCAGCAACTGTAATACAGTTCCTCTTCAAAAGAGTAACTTTAATTTCCTGATTGTTTAATTTCAATATTTGTCAAAGCCTGTTTTTATTTTAAAATATTATGATAGTTTCACTAAGTGATGTGCATTTTAATTTTTTCTACTTGTTCTTTGCAACTGGATACTTGGGTTACTGTGAAACTTATACTCTTTTGTGAGTAATTCCTCATCTAAAAATTGTATAAGGTGCAAAAAAATATATATGTAAATACATTATGGAGTTACCTACAATTAACCTGTAGGAAAATTTGATTTTTGTACAGAAACTTTATCTGAAAACACTGGAGATACTTCCATTAGCACAACTACCCAGCCACATCTGAAAAGGTATGTCCATCACTGTTGGAGAATTGACTTCCCTTGATCAGTGAATAAATGCTGACGAATATACAAGCTGTTTTCTTTCCTTCTAGCTTCCACCCACAAATAAAGTGGTTCCAAAAAGATGATGTCGTCATCTTAAAGATAAGAATAAGGAATGTAAAAGATTACAAATGTAAATACTTTAGAGACAGAGTCATTTTCAGGTAGGTTTATATATATATCTTATAAAATAGAAATAATTTCTAACATTTTAAAAGGCTGACTTTATTTCTTTTTATAAACCTAGTGCCTGGGTGGGAGACAAATTTTACTTGGCTGATATGAACCTGCAGGCCAACATAATAGAAGATGACTGCAAATGCATAATTAATAATGATGAACCTATAATCACTCTTGCAAAAGAGAGAAGGGAATCTTGGAATAGCTTACTCAAACAGAGGGTGAGTTGGAATGAACTCTGGCTGGCTGGTCGTAACACCCTGGGTATGTTATATTAATTCATTTAATGTAAACTATTATATTGAACAGAATCCTAATGTGGCTTTTGATTTTGATCACTGGGAAGACTGTGAAGAGGACAGCCACTTCTCCAAGGGTAAGATGCTGAGCACCCACACCGGGGGCAGGGGGGGGGGGGGTAGGTCCTGAGGGGGGGGGGACATAATCACTCAGTCAGCTGATTTTAGGGATTCAGCCTTTCTGGAAATGGGCTGTGGGGGGGGGGGGGGGGGTGTAGGTCCTGAGTGGGGGTGGACATAATCACTCAGTCAGCTGATTTTAGGGATTCAGCCTTTCTGGAAATGGGCTGTCAATATAAAGCCCTTGGAAATTAGTTCTCTCTTTGTGGTTGATCCTGGTGCTAAATGTTCTGGTTTGAGTACTTAACCCTTGGTTATAAATACACCTTCTTCTAACACTTTTATAGGTATTCTTCCTAGGAGAATAATTTACTTATAAGCAGAGAAATTTTACCTCCTCATTTCTTGCCTTAAATAATGCAAATATGAAATAAGTTGCAAGATAGATAGACGAAAACCCAACTGATTTTTTTCTGCGTTGACCAAAATAATAGGGGGTGGGGGAGAGATTTGCTAATTGGTTTGTACTTAACCCATGTTAAATATCTAACTCTTCTAGTTATAAATTCTAAAAACCTGTCCCACAAAGTAGCTGAGGTGGTTGAAAACAGTAGCACGACTTCGGAGGATTACGAAAGTGATAGTGAATGAGAATGTGAATTAAATCCTGAAGAGTGGCCAGAAGACTGAACAAGAATGGATGTTGCTATGAGACTGAAAGTTAAGAAAACAAGTGGTCATATCCAAACCTTTTTCGCCTCAAGGATAAATTATTACAAAGTGTCATCTTGTGGCACTGGGATTGGTAATGGTGAGAAATTCTTAGTAGATTTAAAAATAGGCTAAGAAGGGCCGGCCCGTGGCTCACTTGGGAGAGTGCGGTGCTGATAACACCAGGGCCAGGGGTTCGGATCCCATATAGGGATGGCCGGTTCGCTCACTGGCTGAGCGTGGTGCTGACAACACCAAGTCAAGGGTTAAGATCCCCTTACCGGTCATCTTTAAAAAAAAAAAAAAAAAAAAAAAAAAAAAAAAAAAAAAGGCTAAGAAGACTGTCAAAGGAGGGTGGAAGCAGAAGAAACAAAAAGTGGTGTTGCGACACGAGCCCAGACTGTGCCTTCCTTCCTCCACGTTGCCTCTCACCGCTCTTCCTGACACTCGAGCCTGAGTGATGGAGAGCAGACTGTGGTGTTGGGTAATGAACTGTAGTAACTGGAGTTAGTCCACTCATTTTTCTTACATAGACCTACATTGGGTACATTGCTAAAAACCTGGTCTTAACATATAAATTGAGGTTTCTGTCTTACAAATTCATATTCAGCAACTGAAGACCCTTTCAGCCATGAGTTAGTTGGGATTCAACATAGCCCATGTGTACTAATACTTTCAGTATTCTTAAGATATTGAAAGCTACTAAGACTAAGTTTACTTCTTATGAAGAGATAGTCCAAGGATAAAAATGGGATTGCCTCAGCAAGACCCAGAACTTTCTGGAGGTGATGAGACTACTGGTTCTAAATGACCCCCTGGGCCTGCAGAGTCCTGGACAAAGGGGACAAAGTTGTCTTTTTAGTGGAAACTTAAAAGGACCTGTGCAGTGCCAGGGGGTAAGCCTCCGAGCACACATTGTTGGGTAAGGCTGCAGCACCTATGGTCACCAACTTTTTTAGGAGGAGTGTATCATCATTACCACTTACATGTAGCCATGTAGGCTTTTCATGCTTTGGGTTTCTTCATTGAAAAAGTTAGAAAGCTGGGCCGGCCCGGTGGCGCACTGGAGAGTGCGCCGATTGGGAGCGCGGCGGCGCTCCTGCCGAGGGTTCGGATCCCATGTGGAGACCGGTTCCCGCTCACTGGCTGAGCATGGTGCGGGCGCAACACCGAGGGTTGCGATCCCGTTGCCGGTCCCCGGTACGGGCGCGACACCGAGGGTTGCGATCCCTTTACCGGTCAGTAAAAAAGACAAAAAGGAAAAAAAAAAAAGTTAGAAAGCTGAGCTATTGGGAAATTAAAACCCTACACTCTTCCTCAATATCAGTGTGTCAGCTTCACCTAGAAATGGAAAAGAACTTTGATAGAACATGACTGTTGAGTGACTGCCCCAAGATCTTCATTTTTTATATATATGTCAGAATGCCCACATGCCCAAGTTTATGTATGTCCCAGGTATACCCAGTTTACTAGAGGTAAACTCTGTCATCAAGCTGTCCCGTGAGCAGGGATGGATCACACTCTTGCTCTCAGTTTCCTCATTTGTAAAATAAGATAATCAGCTCATTGCACGGCTTGGCCTTGCTTTGGGGAGTGCCAACAGAGTGCTGCTAGATCGGGACATTTTTTTCTGTGCAGTGGCTCTGTGACAGGTGGTCAGACCACTGCCCTCCAGTGGGAGGATGTGGTGTCCAGCCTGGACAGCTGCTAAGAACACATCCTTGCTGCTGCTGTGACACTCATTGGTTGACTGGCAGGTGTCAGATTGGCCCATGAAGTAAGGTGGTGATTTTCCTTTTTCTTGCCTAAGTTGGGCAGGCTCTTCAGGAAGTAGAAAGTTCTGGTGTCTTTGCTGGCAAAGGTTTTGACTCTGTGGAGCTCTTCTTAATGTCCTTATTTAGTTTCTCTAGATGTGGCTCTTGCTCCTGTTTGGAGGTGGTGAAGTCAGTGACAGAGCCTCCTGAGGTGCACTGGCTCTCTGATGCCCTTGTGGCCTGCCTGTGAATGCTGCTGCTCTTCAAGCTTAGTTGTGTTGAGTCTCTTTTGTAAGACACAGCACACAATAATAGCAAGTAAGAGAGCTGCATGAATATGCGTTTCCCATGTACACGTGGTGGGGGTCCTGCTCTCATAGAAGACGTGATGCCCATTCTCTGTGTACTTCACAAACAGCTTGATGAAAATATTGAGGGAGGAAGGATATGTTTAAGTCTCAATTTTTTTCCCCAGGCATTCAATTTTCTAATATTTGAAGCTCTGAATAACATTTTGTAGGACATAGGATGCTGACAGTGTAAACAATTAGCAATTGGTTTTCTGTACTGCTATTAATATGTACTGATTTCATGTTTTGGGTAAATTTCTGAAATGCAAGGTAAAAGTACTTTTGTAGATGCTTCTAAAATTGCTCACACACTTTGTGGTGTGAATGTCTTTTGTGATTTATTATTAATAAAATTTCAGTGTTTTCACAGAAATGTTACTTTTTACATTTTTCAAACAATATTTTCCCTGAGTACCAAATGCAAGATAAAATGTTATTCACCACACTTTCTGGTTTGACTAAAATGCCCGTGAAGGCTGTAGGGAAGGCAGTGATGCTGACCACCGACAGAGGTGACTCTTGTTCACACACAGGCTGCAAGTGGTGCTGGGTGGACAGTCACCTTTGCAGTGGGACCTTGTCATTCAGCCTGGCATAGATGTATGTCACGGGTTAAATACCAGGGTGGCAGTACTTTTGGGGTGGGGGAAAGTAGAGAGTAAAACATTTGTACTTAAAAATCTTTATCAATCAAAGCAAAAATTTCACCAATTCTGTATAAAACAGTAGACTATTGATTATTGAGTTTAAAGAACAGTATTTAAGTAAATGTGATGTGCCCCTTGTTAAGTAGTTGCCACTCTAATGGTGGTAGTTTTTATTCTGCCCTTACCTAGCCACCAGCCTTCTTTTAGGTGACATCTTTACCTGATAACTTTACCAGAAACTTGTCACTTCTCCTGTTTGGAACCCCACACACAGAATTAAGGATATCTAAAAATAACAATATTATAAACCTCTGAGAGCATGTTAAGAAAAAAATCAGTAAGAAATAACTACAAATACTGCTTACAAAAATAAATTCATCACAGTTTTGACTTGGCTTCAGGGTCTTCCTCTGGTGGGACCACTTCCATTAGCATCTGAAGGTGCATGGTAATAGGCTCTAGAATAAAAACCAATAAGAGCAGTTAGAAAAACGTAACGAAGCTTCACCATGGTTGTTGGTGAGCAGTGATATTTGTTCTTATTCTTTGGTGATGTGTCACCTCTTAGACCATGTGCTCAGAGAACAGCTGATACTTAGAGTTAATCAGAACCATCCTGGTAACTACACTGGTTCTTTGGAGATAAGTTATTTCCATTAAAGAATTAGGAACCTGCTAAATATTTTACTGCTACCAAATATCTGCATTATAGGGAAAATATGAATGACTCAATTATGTGTATATATTTTACTCCCACTGACCAAAAGTTGACTATTTAGTTTGAAGTCACTAAGATTGTACTCTGTTTAAAATAGATTGTTCAACAAAAAAAAGGAAAAAAAAAAAAAAAGGGCCGGCCCGGTGGCACACTGCTACAGTGCACCGCTTGGGAGTGTGGTGGCGCTCCCGCTGAGGGTTCGGATCCCACATACAGATGGCCGGTTTGCTCACTAGGTGAGCGTGGTGCTGACAACACCAAGTCAAGGGTTAAGATCCCCTTGCCGGTACTA